TGTGTGTGAGAGTATATGTGTGTGTATGTGAGATGTGTAAGCTTTTGGGTTTTCTTTATTTTTTAGTTGTAGTTGGATACAATACCTTGATTTTATTTATTTGTTTTTATGTGGTGCTAAGGATTGAACCTAGGGTGAACGCTCTACCACTGAGCCACAACCCCAGCCCCAGTTTTAGGATTTTCTACATAAAAGTTCACGCTTTTATGTAGAAAAGTACATAAAAGAGATATGAGGTAATTTACTTTTACCTCTTCCTTTCCAATTTAGATGACTTCTTTTTCTTTTTGGTACTGGGGTTTGAACCAGGGGTGCTTTGCCAGTAAACTGTATCCCAATCCCTTTGTATTTTTTACTTGGAGACAGGGTCTTACTAAGTTGCTTATTAGGTCCTTGCTTAGTTATTGAGGCTGGCCTCAAACTTGTGATCCCACTGCCTCAGCCTCCAGAGTAGCTGAGATTACATGTATGAACCACCACACCCTGCTTTTCTAGTTTGTTTATTTATTTATTTATATTTTTATTTTTTATTTTTGGTATTAAACTCGGGGACAGTCAACCACTGAGCCACATCCCTACCCCTATTTTGTATTTTATTTAGAAATAGGGTCTCACTGAGTTTGTTAGGGCCTCCTTAAATTGCTGAGACTGGCTTTGCCTTCCTGTCTCAGCCTTCCAGCCACTGGGATTACAGTGTGTGCTGGTCTAATTTATTTTTATTAGCTAGTTTAAGGTTTCAGATTCTCTGCAATAGTTAATTTTTTTAAAGTATTATAATTTGATTTTTAAAAACTTATTCTAATTTAGTGATACATGACAGTAGAATGCACTTTGATACATCTACAAAGAAGGAGTATAATTTCTCATTCTTCTGGTTGTACATGATATAGAATCCCACTGGTTGTATAGTTATATTTTTATGTAAGGTAATAATGTCTGATTCATTCTACTATCCTTCTTACCCTCTCAACCCTCCCCTTCACTCCCCTCTACCTAATCTAAAGTAACTCTATTTTTCCCTAGCACCTCCCCATCCTGTAACTTATTGTGAATTAGCATCCACCTTTCAGATAAAACATTCAGCTTTTGGTTTTTGGGGATCGGCTTGTTTCACTTAGCATGATATTCTCTAGCTCCATTCATTTATCAGCAAATGCTATAATTCCATTCTTCTTTAAGGCTGAATAATAATCTATTGT